CTTATACCCACTAAAACAACTGTGTTAGATGTTGTACACTAGTGGCGATATTTAATCTGTGTCCATTTGTATTGTATACCTGGTTATGTTTAGCGTTTATACATTTTTAGGTCTGTCATTTTCTTTTGATTTTTCTCTTCGCTAGTTCAGAAATGCTCTGTAATAAAGATTCGAGTGACATTGTGTCCAAACTAGATTCGTTATTCGAGTAATATTTCTACTTTCACGTTGTATTTCGATTACGTCTGTGCGTGTACCCTGGTAAAGTAAAGTTCAGGATTTAAGGTCAAAAATTAAGACTCTCCGGAGCATAATCCTAAAGCCAAAAAACTCGCAATGTTATCTAAAGTAAGTATGCAGAAGCAGTTTCCCAATGTTTCGATCTCCCAGTTTTTTCGAGTTTCAGCAGTCCTATTCGTCATCAGTTTTTCGGCTAATCATCAGTTTTTCGGCTAATTTGAATTTTGTGTTCACTTGTCATGTTCAATCACACTCTTTTCTGGATTGAGAAATGCCGTCCAACATTCCGTCGGCGTTTTGAGCGTTATTCCAAGTGTTTTGAGGGCTCTGAGCGTTTTGGGCAAAGGAACGGTATAAGTATCGTCCAGCGTTTTGAGCTCTTTGGGAAGAACACCAGCTTTGCGAGAGTTATGGGGCAAACGCAAAGAACTAGCGTTTTTAGCATTTTGGGAAAAATGCTGACATTTTGAGCGAAAAAGGCTGTAGGTATCGATCTGTCATTACATTAGCAAGAGACCAGATCGATGGATCCCCTTTCGTCCGAAGTGCCCAAAACGCTGAAGACGCCAGCGTTCACCCCAAAAGGGTAGATAGATGCTTATACCTCCATTTCCGCTGAATACGCTCAAAATGTCGACTAGAAGTGTGAACGTAGTCTCATATTGTCCACACTCATTGGAAAATTTTCGTGCTGATGGGTTCAGTGTTTTGACCAGCATTTCTGAAGAACTTGTCTAAATAGAGAAACTTAGTGAATTCTCAAATTTCACAGCTGACTTTTCATTTCTTCCACTCTTTTCCTCTTGACCCTTTTGATGCTTTAGTTTTTTGTCTGCTGTTCTTTATCTGTATAATTTTTATACATATTTTCATGTATATTTTCAGGAACAATGAAAGACGGTTGCCTACGGAGCTACAGCACCATCTTTGTTTCATTTGTGGCACGTTGTTTCGTGAACGGCATGAATATCAAAAGCATCTGATCAGCCATCAGTCGTTCGCCCTAGTCTATCAGATCTATAATTTTGACAAGACTGAAGTGAGTTTTCACCACGAGTTCTTTTGTTTGCGAGGAATGCAAGGCCTCAAACCGGGACGAGTTTGCGTTCTTTTCAGAGTGAAAAGAAGGCTAATGAGAAGGCAAAGAAGCCGGAGCAAAAGCCTGGACGAATCGGACATGCATTTTCGGATGACTATCCCAAGTATAAAGGTGAGAGTTTACATTTTGTACTCAGTCGTCAGAATTACTATTGTTATAAGCAATAGTTAATCAGCTTTAGCTTTCCCTTTAGCTTTAGGTCACTAAGAAGGTGAAAAGCGTTCATACTTCTCAGTGCTTCGATGAGCGTTTTGAGTGAACA